GCGGAGCCGCACGCGGCGTTCCGGGGCAGCGTCGTTCCGGGCCCGCCCAGGGCGCGCAGCCCCAGCCCAGCGTCGACCCGCCGCCCCCGTTCCGCCTCTCGGAGCGGCGATTTCCCCTTCTCGATGCGAGTTCTCCCGCAAGGTCGCCGTTCCCCCTCGCAGCTGCCATAACCTCCTCAGGGCCGCCCTTTCTCCCCCAGGGCCACCATTTCCCGCTCAGGGCCGCCGTTCCCCCCTCACAGCATGACTCCCTCCCTCAGGGCCGCCATTTTCCCCTCAGGGTCGTCGTTCCCCCCCCTCGGGGCCATCATTTCTCCCTCAGAGCTGCCATTCCCCTGCCACGATGGGCAGCCAGAGGCGAACGCTGCTTGAAACACGAGCATTTTGAGCATTTCCAACAACTGCCTTGTTTCTCCACAGGAGCTCCGGACTGACCCGGGAGGGGGTCTGTCAGCCACCCTGAAGCACAGCCCCACAAGCTTTCCCCTCGGGGAAGGGCCTGGAGCTGCCTGGACACACGGGACTTGAAAAAAAAAAGGGCATTTCGGCTGGAAATGGGTCACCCCCAGCAGATGTCATGTCAGGCCCACGGCACCTGAGCACCTTCCCGAGGATGCAACTGGGTTTTGCATCCAGCCCCTGCAGCTAGCTATTCCCTCAACCCACCCCAGCAACAAATCATTAATACAGTGCCGTAACTAGCGATACCAAAATAACAGAGGCCTAGTTTGAGGTGCTATTTTTGCACCTATTAATTATTTCTGCCTGCATTTAAGCATCTAGGCATCCTATTTAGGAAGGTCTTTCAAATAATGCTTTGTAAGTATTTACAGTTTGAATTCATTTAAACATCACCCGACTGCATTTTTATCAGCAAAGGTTTCTCACACTCTCTTGCCCCTATATTTAATATCATCCTCCATTAGCATGCAAAATCCTTACTGATGAATTGTTAAGATACAGCCCCCAGAAGTGTGTCAGCCGATTTCTTTTTTTAAAACCCTGTTCACTTAGATAATTTGAAAAAGGTTAAAAAAAGAAGAAAAAGTAGGTTTCAGGAAGTAAGCTTGATAATCGTTCCCATCCTGCATGCACCGAATGCCCCCAGGGCTCTTGTGCACTGGGAAATCGTGATGGCAGCAAGCCCTCGGGGGCTCATGAGCAAGCACCCTGCTTGCTACCTTACCGAATTCCCTTGTGCCTGGGACTGCCCAGCAAGAGAAAATATTTCTTAATAAGAGCACAAGTTTTTAAAGCTGGCTTTACCCATTAATTTAGTTTATTTATACCAGCTAAGTGTCTGGCCTCCATCACGCCTGTCTGCTCTGGAGAGCTGATTCAAGCAACAACAGAGCAGGAGCACAGGAGCAGTGGCTATGCCTCAGTAGGTTGGCAAACAACCACAGCCGTCCTTAATAACCAGGCTTTACAGCATGGACTAGAGAATACACAATCAATCCTGCCCTTCAAACACACTGCAGCAGTAATTGTTACTGGGCATAATACCCACCTAATTTCTTCAAAGGCACTTAGACCATATGAGCAGACTTTTTTGCATAATACACTGCTCTTAAAAGACTGTCCTTCAAGTGGGGTGTAGCATAACCAACTGCCAGAGAAGTAAAAAAAGAAAAAGGGGGGGAAGCAGGATAAAGCAATCAAATGTGTTCTTTTAACACAAAAATGGTGGGAAGGACGGTAGCAGAGACCATCAGAAACCCTCTCACTGCCTTTGTGTATCACATTGCGGTCTCCTGCCCCATTCTTTACAAAGCTGCCAAAAATATATTCACAGCTGCCAGCCTCTCTAGCAGTATAAATCCTCCTCATTATTGAGCTGCCACATTTTCAGGATTTAACGAGAACAAGACCTCATTTTTCATGAACATCAGGCACGTGCATCGATTCAGTTTGAGCCAAATGAGCCCGGTTACAGTGGGTCTCTCAGGAAGGCAGCGCTCGTTTTAGAGCCCTGTGCCAGCAATCCGTCAGACCAGCGAGGTAGTAGAAATAATCTAAGCTGCTTCCGCTCTACAGCGTGGCGTGGCAAGACACAGGTATAACGTGTCGAAGATGACAGCCTGAAGGGCAAAAGGCTTTTAAGGACGGTTTGAGTTACAGCGTGATGTATCAGAAAACATCCACCACTACTAAGGAGAGTTCTAATAATCCATGGCACGCAAGCGATGGAGTCAAGGACCAGCTGGAGGAATTTAGCAACCAGCACTCATCTGACTTCATTACAAGCCAGGGACTACGTAGCAAGTTAGTTAGGAACAAATATTCTACATACGCGGAAGAGGAAGAAAAGGGCAGTTTGGCTAGTTTAACTTTTTGATGGTTCATTTTGAAAATGGGACTTAAAACTGAGCAGGAGAAAACACCTGAGCTGGGGTTAGAAAGTTTGATCTCTATGGGCAGGAGAAAACACCAATCCAAGAGAGCTGGGGTTAGAAAGTTTGATCTCTATGGCATACTCCAACTAACACAAAAGCCTGAAAATTCTCCCAGTAACTTTACAGTTTACTAGAGAGCAGGTAAAGGTTAGTAGACCAGAGAAAAGTTGAGTATTTCATCAATGCCAGTGTGCAAACTTCCTGCAAGAAAACTTGAATTCCCTTGCTCTGTGCCTTACCTGCCCTTCTACAGAGTAAAACCCCATCTTTAGTGTCCAGCACCACACTGCACAGATGGTGCGAGCCCCATCGGAGGTCAGGTACACGAGCCCCAAGCCATTTGGATGCAAGGTAGGGCAACCAAAGTTACAGCAGTTAACAAAACAGCAATCAAGAACCTTAATTAAACAACACTACCCAAGCGTTTTAACTCCTGCACAAAATAGCCTCTGCAGAATACAAGAGACATTGCAAATAAAAGGCAACATCTGCTAATTAGGGAAAATGGCACTAAGTCTTTTATTAGCCATTCTATTCCATAGAGTCAAAGGAATCAATACAAAATTGCAGTCGCTGCAACTGGTAGCTTATTCGCCTTTCATCTTGGGCTGAATTTCTCATTCCCACATACCAGTAGGCTTTGTTCTGACTATGCAGCTCCTCTTTAGTCACAGCAAGTGTTTTAGAAGTTTTTAAGACTTTGCCAGCTGTTAGGACTGCGCTATCTCATTAACTCCTCCAGGCAGCTCATACTTTGCCCCATCTGTACAGGGCACCCTCCTGGCATTGATCAGATCGGTGAAACCAGTTACCACCCTACTGCCCTTTTTAAAGCCCGAGTGCTCCCACCATCCATCTCAACTTCCAACTGCAGTACTCGAAAGCTGCACAGCTCAGTACTGCTTGTACACTTGTCTTGTTCCACTTCTCAGCTCCAAGCACCTAAGTTTTCACCTGAAGAAGTTGCTCTACTAGAAAATTCCAGGACAAAAAAAAAAAGACCAGAGTTAATTTGCAAATACCTAAATTGTTACCTTTCAGACTTAGACAAAAAGAGTTTTTAACATCAGTGATGCTAAAACCCAAACTCAAAAGTTTGCTTTTGAGTTACAGATAACCACTTCATTGAGATGGGAAACTTGGGGCAACTTTATCTTGAGCCAAGTACTTAAACACACAGAAATCGGGACAGGGCAATCTCATGTCCCACCTGAAAATGGAAACATGCAGCCACTTCTCCAAGTAGCAGAAACATCACATCTCAACTTGCATCAGCAAAACAATTTTAATTACTCTAATGTGTATGGAAGGAAATCATTGCTTATCCAAGCTCAAAAAAGCTTTAGCATTTAAGTGCAAATTAGACTTTTGTATTTGTTACCATTTCAACTGGCAGAAGCCACTTCCATTTCACACAAATACTGACTCCTTGTTTATGTAATTGCTAATCTGACAGTTGCCTTCAGATGTAGCTGCTTCACTACTGAAGTTTCACAGATGCGGAAACTTCATGTAATTAGGCCACTTAATTCAAGGTTACAATGATGCAATTAAATTTCTTCCTCAAACTTGCCCCTAAAGACCGGTTACCCTCTCTGTCCAGTTCCCCAACCACAACAGCATTTGTTTATTTTGCACTTTTAATTGGGGCTATACACCAGATAACTATATTTATATTGGATGCCTTGGCCACAGTCTAATATTCTTATGCTTCCCCACAAAAGTACTACAGAGATTGGTTTGGTTTTTTTCCACATTCCAGTATTTTATTCTAGCTTAATTGACTTATTTCCTTGTTTAATTGACCTATATAAAAATCAGTAACACCACTGCTCAAAGCTCTTCATCTCCACCACTCCAGTCAATGGCTGTCCTTGGTCTTCTCTGACGCATTTCATTGCTGAAATAAAATTAAGACAGTGAATTTAAAGGCAGAGAAAGTCTACGTAAATTTTCACCTATAAACTACTGAAGTCAGACTTTACCACTTACAGAATAGTACTGGAAAACAGTAACAGGGCCAAACCTTTCGATTCGGGAAAAGCTACAGGGGTGAGGGGCAGACTGAACAGAGATGTTACCTGGTTGGCAAACTTGTGTCTTGCTCCTGCTTCCTTGGAACGAATGCTCTCCTTCCTCAGAATCCCCACTCAGCTTCCCTGTCGAGTGTCCCATCTTCTCTTCAGCCTGCCAAAGCAAAGATGCATTAATAAAAATATCAAACAGAGCCTTTACATTGCCACCCACCTCCCCCAACACAAGTCACATCGTATACGAGGGTTTCACAAGCCATTCGCTGAACCCATCACATCACAGAAGCACAGTCTGGGAAAACTGTTCCAGGGCTGGCTGATGCCTTTGATATGCCAGCCAATGTATCATTTGATCCCTAAGCAGAGAGTTAACCACTTTGACATGGCTGCTTAGGAAGTGTGGGCTATGGGAAAAAGTTAATGGCAACAAGTAGGATGGCAAAGAAAGCTACAATTAAAGTGAGCAACTTAATGAAGTCTAGGAAGATTCTCAATAGATGAACACATATCAAGTCAGGGAATTCATTTCCCATCTTGCTTCCATACCTACTAGCAAGACATGACTGCATGCCCAACTCTGATCTGTGGAACTGAAGTTGTGCCACAAGCCAAAGGTTGCATACGGCATGGGTTAAAATTTTTCCATCAGTTGACCAAAATTGTCAAAGGAATATTTCACAGGTACATTAGACTTTCAAATGAGCTCTCAACAAGAGGAAGGATGCGGACATGAGCAAAAGGAGTTACCTCGAATTACAGGACTATTTCCACATATGAACTAGCCAAGAGAGCAGCTTTCGTCTCAGAGGTTTCTGTTGGAGGCACAACACTTCTTTTTCTCCAAGGACACTGCAGTTTCCATATGCTAGCAAAGAATTCTTAGAACTTGTAAGGCAATGACAAAGCTAGCTAATTACGGCAATTTACCTACCATTGAACACTCTTGTCAAGCTAGTAACTAGTCCAGTTACTAAAGGACTGATTCTTCACTACAGGTTTTCAATGTAGGCTACTTCAGTATTTTAAGGAAACATCAATTATCCTACCTAACACTAGCGTTCCCTCGACTTCTGACTTAGGCTTTGAGTACTAGAACATCCTAAGGTATACACTTTCAGTCCTCTGCCTCTAGACAAGTTTGACTATTCTTATGTGAAAGTATGTTGACGAATTCACATATCAAGACCGATTGAGATTAAATTCTAGCAACTGGTCAATAAATCTGGCTTGCTCTTACACTATCACTAGTCTTCTCCTCTCCTCTGGCATCCTCTGTTACTTATAGACTGTTCTTCATCTTCAAGGATTGTGTTGTGCAATGAAATGTAAATGTCAGGAGCAGAGTTCATTTCAGACGGTCTTTTAATAGGCTTCGTAAAGCCAAAGAAAACTGTATACAAGAATCCTTTACCACTTCAAATACAATATCAATGGAATATGCATATTTCTTCCAGTAAAAAAGGACAATATAAATAAACATTTTCAAGAACCTCTTTTATGGTAAGTTTGCAAGTCTATTTCTGGGTAATTTACATCATTACAACAGTAAAAATACCGTTATGCAGGTTGAACATACAAGCAAGTTTCTCTTTAGATATATCAAGGTGGTTTGCCTTCCAATTTGTACCCAGGCTGCATTCCTACCTTGCTACACTAAAGGAATGTTACAAAAGACGAAGGTAATGCACTTAAAAAAAAAAGTCCACAGCTTGTTCAGCTTCCAGTGAACATTGAATTAAAGGTCCTTTCTATCTCAAAAGAAACTGAATTGGGGCCCCAACTTCACAACTTTAAAAAAAACACCTTGGCTCATCATGAAGGATAAAATAAAATCTGAAGTGCTTTCAAAAAAGATTAAAAACACTTGAAAGCAAAGCTTTCTTAAAGAAAAGTCTAATTAGACCATCTTATATCAGAAGCTGTCAGGCTGTGTTTGACAAGATTAGAACTGATAATACTACAAAAGTGAAAATACAAGTAGATGTACTACACAATAACGATTTCAGCGAAGCTCCAAAAATCTTTATAAATACAGCCATTGGAAGGACGATCTTGAGTCAGGAAGGATTTTTACTCGTTGTGTGTAGCTGAGGACAAGAAGCAGGCACAATTGTAAAGGCACTGAAGCATAGACAAGTTCCAGCATTTTACTCCCTTGCATTATTTCAGAAGCTAGTGCTAGTTCGCTACACCGTAAGAGAACTCCCCCACCCTTGATTAAAGTTTGTTAGGGCATCCGAGTTTTGTCTTAGTCTCAAGCTCGAGGAACGTATTTTAAAAACTTGCTTTGCCTTAGATCCAAGCAACTCCTACACATGCATTACAAATTAGAAATTTAAACGGCACAACCACGTCCAAAGCCTGGCAGATTGGTTCTTACGGGCAAGAACAGAAATAGTGGTACAGTCCAACTGAGCCTTACAGTATTTCCAGACTCAAGTACAGGGTCAGAAGGTTTAGAGAGTTCCTACAGCATACGTACTCATCGTTCCCATTTGAACCAAGACTTACCGTAACTGTCATAGCTGTCTCTGTAGGATCCTCCTGAAGACCTGTCACCATAGCCACCTTGACTCCTGCTGTTAAAAAGCATTCACGTGCTTTATATTTGCTCAGCTGTTTCTGGAGCCTATCGACGTTTATGTCGAACAGGCAATGGGCTTCAAGAGCTTCGCAACAACCCACTAGCGGTCACAATGACTTTACCTGCTATTATAGTAGTCTCTGGAGCCATTATATCCTCCACTTCTGGAATCAAATCTGCTTCCGCCATAGCCTCTCTCTCCACCTCCTTGAACAGACACCGGATCATGGGGGTTTTTTAAGCGTTCTGACAAATGCCATTGCTACTTCAGGAACTGCAAGTCATTCATGCACACTCACCTCTAGAGAAGCCACGGCCCCGACCTCTGCCGCCACGGAAAAAGCCTCTGCCCCCAGAAGACCCCCCTCTGTATCCACGAGATCTGTTCTCTGATGATTTTCCAGCCTGATCAACTCTGATCTGACGTCCGTCTACAGACTAACAAACAGAGAAAAATACATCAGCTTGATGTTTAAACATTTAAATAGCAAAGCACATATACAATGAGTTATACACCTTCATTGTCAGCTAAGCAATACCACAATTTACTAGTTCTTACAAAGGTTTTATCAATATCACAACTAAGCCAACTACACAAGTAAATTTATGTCGAAACAGTATATACAGGCATACCTATAAAGTGTCACTATTTCTCAGTCATATAGATTAGGTCATGAAATTTTAGCAATTTCTATTTTTCATTATTCCTATCTTAAGCTCTTTTAAGACACTAGTATTTATCTGTTTTTCTACATGGCATTCAACAGAAACACGTCTTTCAAGTTCCCTTACTGCATTTCACAGAAATCAGGAAAGCTGTTCCAAAGACTCCTTACCTTTCCATTCATGGCCATCATTGCATCTTTAGCATCATCTATGTTTTCAAAAGTAACAAAGCCAAAACCTCTGGATCTCTGAGTCTCTCTGTCTTTCACCACAACAACTATAAAGAAGGGGGGGGAAAAGCATCAGCACCTGTGCAATCGAACAAATCTATGAAAGTCATCACAGCTTAGTACTGCAATCTTACCTTCAGAAATTTGTCCATATTTAGAAAAGACTTGTTCCAATGACTGCTCATTGGTGTCAAAACTCAGTCCACCGACAAAGAGTTTTCCCTCATCTGATGCCATTCTGACCTGCAAAGCCAATATATCCGAAGTCAGTAACTCAAAAAAAAAGTTATTCCCACAGCGTCTGAAATATTAAATCGGTTATAACACCACCAATAACCTCACATCCTTACACGACGCTCGAACCCCAGTGAACTGGTGCTTTGTATCAGAGGAGTACTCTGTAGGGCTGACCCGGACCATGCGCCTTCCCCCGGGAAGCGGAGCTGCAGCCGCCGATCGAGGCCTAGCACAGCAGGACGCCAGCAGAGCGGGCCCAGCCGTACGCCCCGCCCGGGCACAGGCAGGGTCTGGAGGCCGCCTCCCGGACGCTCGAGCCCCGGCCGGCTGGC